TTTTGCTCTGGTCAACCTGTAGAGGAGGAAACAGTGATCACAACGGTGGAAAAATCACATCGAACAGGAATCGGGAAGGGCCTCATCGGAGGCAAAAATATAAACACCCCGCAGCGGTGCCGCTAAGCTTCGGCGGCGTTTTTCGGCCAATTGGCTGGTGCTTTCGCTTCGATTTGGCCATAGGTGGGTTTAGAATCAAATTATGAGCAAAGGGTAAAATTTTTACTTCATTTGGCGGCTGAAAATTGCTCTTGTACGGCGGCGGGTGGCGGCGGTCGGCTCCCCGGCGGCTGGACTGTCTTCTCCAGTGAGGAGTTCTGGCGGCTAGGGTTTGGGTTTGGGTGCAGATGAGGTTATTTATACCCATCCGCTTTTTATATGAGCCTTCCATCGCTTTTAATCTAGTCTGTCCGATCGTGATTAGATCGGGAATGAATCTGGACCGTTCATCGCGATTCAATCTGAGCCGTCCGTGCACGATTCAATCTGGACCGTCCATGCGCGATGCAATCTAGGCTGTCCGTGCGCGTTTTTTATCTGGGCTGTTCGTGTGCGCGAGAACGGATCTCAGCCATTCGATCGCGCGCACGCGGATCGCCCACGTAGCTCACTCCCGCATGGCCTCCCGCGTTAGTGTCTCTGCCACCTGACGCATCCTGGTTGGCTGGGGATGCTGACCGGGCAGCTGACGTGACACAATTTTTTTAAATTGTATTTTGACCCCCCGGTTTCTGATTTTTCTTTCAAAAATACCCCCAGAACCCAAATTTTCACCCATTTTTCTCAAAATTATTTTTAATTAAATCCCTAAATAATTTTTACCCCTTTTTATTATTATTATTATTATTATTGTTTCCATTAAAAGAAATTAAATTCAATTTAAAATTACATAAATAATAATTATATTCATACAATAATAATTAATAAAAAGAGAAAAGGAAAGGTTGGGTGTTACAATATACACCCATATTAAATCAATCACTTTTCATTTCGTCTATTAGTATCATTTCTCTCTATCAATACTCTTGGGCCTCATAGAGGTTTCTCCCACACGTGGATACTTAATGTTTCTTTTACAATTATCAGCTGTCCCCACATTTCATCCGGTAATAGGTGCCACTTTTTCCAGCCAACTTCATACCTTGTTCAATATGAGTGTCACTTTTATCAGCCGCCCTATACCCCATCATGTAGGGCGCCATTAACAATCTTCCATCCTCGTCTGGTATGGGAGTTTCCAGCCCCGTACTTTAATATCCGGGCCCGAAATTTGGGCTGCAATTAATTTTAACATAAAAAATGTATAAAATCCTATTTTAAAAATTTATAAATTTTGATTTGATGTGAAATTATAGAAAAAAATAGGTTGAGGATGAATGAAAATAATTTTAGGAAAAATTGGTGAAAATTTGGATTCGGATGATATTTTTAAAAGAAAAATAAAAAATTAGAAGTCAGAATGCAATTAAAGAAAATTGTACAACGTAGAACTGCCCAATCAACAGCCTCGACGAACCAGAGTGTGCCGCGTGTCAAGGCACGCTGACTTGATGCCATGCTGGCGATCCGCGTGCCCCGCGATCAGACGGCCCAGAAGCATTCTTGCGCACGTAGACAGTTTGGATCCGTTCCCTCTTTAGGCGCAATTGGAAGGTCGTGATTAAATGATGAATGATCCAGATTCATTCCCTCTTTAAACGCAATCGGACGATCGCGATCAATTCACAAAGATCGGTCCAGATTTATTTCTTCTTTAAACGCGATTAGACTATTGAGATCAAACAC